ATAAATCACCGTCCACATAGAAAAGAATAGTATATACTTCAAAATGCTGGATAACCCAGTGCTATAGATAAACACGGACTTTGCTACGATAAAATTGTCTACATTAATCATTACAAAATATAATAAAATATAATAATACAGCAAATCCAATCTTTTTTTTCAATTTTTATTTTATCATTTATTATTAAATTTTTTTATCATCGTTATCATCATGTTATCATCGTTGCCATTAGTAAAAAGTATATTAAAATTTCTCATTTAAATGGTTTAGCCACTGCTTTATGTTTCATCTGGTGAAATTTTTGTCTATTCGAGCAAATTATATGTTATTGATGTCAATAAAATTGTAGTGAATAAGCTTTAATTTCTTTATAATTTTTTTACAATAATATGATGAAAAATTCATAAAATTATATCCATTTAAATTCTCAAAAAAGCAAAATTTGACAAATATTCGCGAAATTCTATTGGATCTGAGTTTTTTGATATTTATTAATTCATTTGTCGTAAATTAAAGAATTTTTAAAAAATCCAAAATCTTCCTCGTTGATTAGTGTTGATTAGTGATAGTAAAACATATTTCCAAATTCTTTAAAAAATATTTTAAATATTTTTAAAACAAATATTTACTATCCCTAATTATACACTATAAACCGCGTATTTAAGAGATTTAAAGTGAAGTTGAGTTGTACTGCATGTTAGCCGTTTTTGCCAATATTCCTCTTATATTTTCATAACCAGTTTCAATAACAATGATAACAACGATAATCATTCTAAGCCGTAGTGAACAATAAAGATTATCTGAAATTCGCTCAATGAAAAATTTTTAATGAGCATTATAAAATGTTATAATAGGCTTAGGCTTATGTCATTTTAGGTATGAAATATAGTTGCATTTCTTTTATGAATTCTCAAAACATTCGCTTTTATAAACGCTGATAAAAATAATCTTTTCTTTAAACTCCATTTTAATAGCTAATTATAACGAAATTTTTGTCTATTCGAGCAAATTATATGTTATCGATGTCAATAAAATTGTAGTGAATAAGCGAAACTGTTGATAATATTTCTTTCTTTACTTGTTGATAAGATAAATTTATTCGTTTTGTATGTTTTTAAAATTTTTAAAAAAAATTTTTTTAATGAAATTGATCAGATTTTCAAATAATTCTTATAATATATACTTATCCTTATCAATGATAATGTCTTTTTATAACATGGAATTTACATTGAAAAAAAAATCATTATCACATCGTTAATTTAAAATTTATTTAAAAAATAATTAATTCCATAAAACCATTTCATGGACTGATGGACTAGTTATTAATTGTTTGTTACAGAAATTTCCCCTTTGCTAAGTTTGGATAGTTTGAATTAGGCTTAAGCCTAGAGGCTTGCATCAGAAATATTTTACGGTAAAAATTCTTATTATATACAATTTTTTAACAATTATTCATTTATTCATTTGCGACCTAACGAAATTGATTTTGACATTCTCATCTTCACATTATATCTACCTTCTCTTTTATACAACAATACTCACCATTTGCGAGTTCGGCTGGTTGTACTGATTTTCGTCAGAAAATTTTAGGTCCAAAGCATCGCGTGGTTCTAATTTTCAGTGGTAGATTTGATTTTGTCGAGAAAAAAGAAGCTAAATCCGTAGTGCTTTAATCGTCGAAGCCATACCAGTCAGTTGTCACGTCACCATTTCTGTTGCGAATTACATATACGTTTTTATAAATTTATATTTATGTAACGCTTGTAATCATAAAAAAAAATCATCGCCTAAAAATCTCCCTGAAAATCTGGTTTTTCAACTGTATGCGATTTTCATATATTATTCACTGCTATAAATCCCTAAGCCAGACGATTAAACTTGCTTTTATTCCTTTACTATTTAATTGCTTGCTCAGTTCGTTTTTATTAAATAGTTGAATTAAAGGCTATGAGATTTTTAGCTAAAAATTTCATCGCCATTAATACATCCACATTTCTTCACGTATTGTGAAAAAATAATTAAATACGCTATTATTCATTGACTTTCGCTCACTTTACTGACTGCTAGGCTAAGATTATTTCTTCTTTAGACTTTGGCGTGTAAGTGTAACTGCAATAGCCTTAGGGGTTGCTCTTGTCGAAGTAAAAGAATCCAGAACGTACTGTTTGCCATCATCCATAAAACTGACATATGATTCAATCAATGACCATCAATGCAATTATTTTTAAATGCATTTGTAGAAGATTTTCTCATTGCGAAAATTGACTTTCAGTGAATTTTGGTGATAAGTTTAAAATGGTACAAATAAATTAATGAATTCGTTTTATCATTTGATTCATTTCATCGAATGATTTTTAGTTTAGTTTCCTATAAAAATATATATTTTAGGCATTCGAACTTTCGAGTTTTGTATTGATTATCACTTTTGATAAAATATTTTAGAAATTTTTTTAGTCTATTTTATTGTATGAAAAGAAATTTGATCAATAATTTTTTCAAAAGTGATCAGTTCAAACAAATTTTTTTTTTAGTTTATCAATGCTAATTCTTAATGGAATTAAAAATATAAAAAAAAATATTTCATATTTTCTTAGTTTTTTTTAGAAGAATCACTTTTGGCAATAAATCACTAATTTCGAATTTAATTTGTGCCCTGTGGCACGAATAAGCGATTCGCTGGAACGGTTTCTAATTTTTCGGAGAATTATTTCATTAAAAGATATATTTGTGATCCAAAACAAGACCATTACAGTCTTTATGAATTAAACGAAATACAGTAAATCTCCTTGAAGGCATGAATATTGGCAATATAATGGTTCCTTTTTTAATAACTCGCATCTAGTTTGGCATATTCCAGAGGCAAACATGGTACCCTTTTTAACGAGATACCATTAATGAAATTGATTGAAGCTTAATATCGTTGTATGGATCACCAATATGCACAAATTTTGTCTCAATCCAAGATTCCTCAAGAATAAGGCTCCTCTCTCTTGGCACAGTTAATTTTTTTAGATTTCTTTGCAACTTAACATTGGTCAACTGTGGCTCGGTGAAAGAGTGAATCTAAACTGATGCTTCAACAGGTAGTACATTTATGATTGCAAGTATTACTTCAAGAAAACAACTTCATCTTTATCATCACAATGGTTTATTTGAAGCTAGACTATCTACAATATTTGTACATGGTCTTTTGTAGCCATCATCTATCAGCAAAATGATAACATAAAAAGCCTGTAATATTACACTTCGAAGTGATTTTCTCGAGGACTAGCGAGAAACCGGTATAGAAACAGGTGAGACTATTACAAAACTGAAGATTTACATGCTTCCCATACCAGTTATTTCAAAAGATACCAGTTATTTCCAGATCCTTATACAAACAAATATGCATGGGTATAATATTATCTCTTCTGGATAGGACGTTGGCGTAGCCAAGTAAGTAATCGTCCAGATTATCATATCAGAAAACAAGGATTCGTTCCTACTCAGAGCGGAATAAATCTAATATTGGAAATCTAGATCATGGTGATCCCTCCACAGTTCCTTAAAAGCCTCTTCAGCATTATCTTTCCGAAGCGATTGCATGGCTTTCAAAGGGCATTATTGTTTAGAAAGAACAGTCAGTGGAACGAATGAGCGCTATTTTAATTTTCCTTTATAGCAAGATTTGATCAGTTCGCATGAATCCTAAAGCCATCTTGCTTACGGTATATCCTGGTATCACATCTGTGGTTATAAGTTAAGTTTCAAAGAACTTTCTCTCTCAGAAAAGTCTACATTTGAGAGCTCTAATACTTCAGCCTTACCTCGGACCTTACCTTATATAAGGCAATTTTGCGAAAGAGACGAGATAGTTTACCTATTTTGTCTACTTTTACCTATTCTCTTCATGTTTCGCACCAATTCGCTCTATTAACTAATTTTCCCGTTTCGTTATATTCTTTCGAAACATTCAATAGTTAATTAAAATAATGACTATTTTAATTTTTTTCTAATTTTTGTTGGTTATTTCGCTATAAAAAACGCGAAGAATCACGAGAATTGCAAATAATAATAATTTTACTGTAGGAAAAATTTTTCCTAAAAATTCTATTTTAAATTCATTTATGAATTCATTTATGCCGATCCATTCAAGGCTTTTCAATTTATTTAGAAATAGCGATTATTAAAAACCGGATTGGTGAGAGATAAAACCACTCAGTTTGTTTTGTGGACTTCAGTAAATAAATCGAAATTCTAATCCTAAGTCGCGAATTAAACTAAAGTGCTCGTGAAAAATAAATATGTAAGGATGCTTTGAATAGCTAAAAAAATACTAGTTTAATACAAAGGTAACCTCAAAGAATATTACAAATTTCGTTGACTACTAACTTACTTACTATTCTCTGAAATTATCCATTTTTGTTCACTAAACTTTAAACTTTTGTTTTTTGTTTATAATTATTTTGGCCAATTTTTTTCGATTACTAGGACAAGGCTTTTTCACAATGGTGAATTTAATCTCTAATTTTTGTTAATTTATAAGTTCCAAAAGTTCCAATCGTTAGGAAATAGTGCAACGCGTGAAACAACTGAAACATTATGATGAATACTCTTGTTACTTGTGTCATATTCGATTGTGTGAAATGAAAAAAAAACAAAAAAATCGCTTTCTGCAAATTTATTATTTTTCAAATTGCCTTATAAATCAGCTGTGAAAAGGTTTTTAAACTTTCAACGACCTTGTCATTTTCTTTCCTTTTTTTCCTTCTTTCTTTTGTAATTTTAGGAAATTTTAAGGATTCAGAGGGCGAATCAAATTTTGGGTTTTTCTCTTTGCATTTATATGTTTAATAAATAAAAATAAAGAAATAAAAAATTCGAAAAACTAAGAAAAAAATATAGAAAAAGCAAATAAGCACATCTAATTGAGAAGAACTTTTTTTTTCAATTTTTAAGTTTCTCGTACGAATAAATTAAAAAACCAATGAATTTTTTCTATTAAAAAAAATGAATTTAGCTTTGTTAATAATTTTTTCTATGGACAATCACGTCGACCACAGCAATCATCAAAATCGCGAATCGACAAATGTGGGTAATAATCATTTGTTTGGCCATGCGATGACTTTCCATTTTGGCCTCAACGAGGTCATTCTTTTCTCATTTTGGTCAGTGAATGGCTTAACAGGTATCATTTTTTTTCGCTTCCTAAATAATTTATCGCTAAGTTTATAATTTCCTCTTCACATTTTCCTTTTCCTTTTTTCTTAAAAAATATATTTTTTAAATATTTAAATAAAATATATAAAATAAAATAATAAAACAAATAAATTAGTGAACTTTTCTTCTTAAAAAAATATTTTCATTTAAAAATTTATTCTAATAAAAAAAAAATTTCTTTCAGCTATGATCGCTTCTTGTATCATTATTATATTTTTATGCTTTATTATGGAAATTATACGATTAATTCGAAGTATACGAATTTGTTATGAAAGGAAAAAAGAGGAGAGCAACACGAATGCAATATGGAAGTAAATTATGACTAAAAAAATATTCCATTTCCATTTTTTTGACCAATCATATTTCTCAAAACTTTATCATTTGTTAAATCGCTATTGTTTCACTCTACTGGATTTTGATAGTCACTATCACTAATCACTAATCACTTGAATTGCATAGCAAATAATTATTAAATCTTCAACCGAAGAAAGCGGCTTTCAGAAAAAAGTATAACGAAACAAAGTATGATACGATTTAAAATATCTATTATTATTATTACTTTTATAATTTTAGAATTTCGCCTCAAGTGAACTTCAATACATGCATTGATAGCTTTCTTCATGCTATTCAATTGACAATAAGTTATCTTCTCATGTTGTTATTCATGACATTTAATGTATGGATTTGCTTGGCGGTTATTGGTGGCGAAGTGATGACGAGATTCTGTCTTAAAGTTATCTTTCGAAACATACAGATAGCAGTCCGTTTTTTTTTTTCCACGCTTTACAAATTATCTAAAATTTTCTCAATTTTCTTTATTTTCATCACTATTTTGTTTAATATATATATTTAAAATTTTATATATACGCATAGATAAAATTTTTCTTTCACCCTCCCCTCTCTTGTGGGTAGTTATGATCCTCAATCTCGGGTCCTCAACCATAGGCCCGGAAGATTGAGGATTCTACGCAAGATCTTGGCTAGTGCACTCTTCTAGATAGAAATCTCTTCCTGGAATCTGCTAAAGCCAATTTTCTAGTTTAGGGGTCATAGTCTCAAGTGCTCTAGTTATCACTGGAATTACTTTGGCTTTTATTTCACATTCCACATCTTCCCTAATTCCTCTTTCAATCTATTTCCTTAAATTTTCGTATTCCTTCTTTCGAATATTCCTGTCACTCGGTATTCCTCTATCAGAACTGATTTCTGATTCTTACAACGTTATCTGGTTTATTGGCCAGTGCTTGTTTCTTTGCCTGTTTAGATGAAGAAATCCCATAAGATCTTCATCTTATTATTCTTTATGATTTTCTGAGGGGTTTTCCATTTAATCTTGGGTGACTTTAAGCCATATGCCGAGCAGATGTTCCTGTAGATGATGCCAGTTATGCCTTTTAGTACAGTTCCTCAAGAGCAGATGTTCCTCATTGCATCCTGCCACTATGTGTTGCGTTATTTCTGGGACATTTTAGCACAGTCTGCATCTAAAGTCCTGCCTAGTGTAGTAGATCCTTGTTTCGATGGATATATATCTAATGATTAGTGCTGCTTGTTTCTTTACTGCTACAATGTTTCATTATCGCCTTTTAGTCTGTCTTTCTGCAACCACTGGTAAGATTTCGCAGTATCAACTGTCAACTATCGTACCTACCTCAACTATCGTCGATAGTGCAATGTTCCATGCAGAGCTTTGCTACTTTGCCTTCGTATTCCTTCTGCTTGATCGTTTTCCAATGTTTATATATGCTTCAGACATTGTCTCAGCTGTCCTTCCTTTGGCACTATCTTGCTGATATATTTCCGTACATTACAAGGAGTTTTCTGGCATTTATATCAGCAACCTTCATGTCTTCTTTTGTCCATCTTACAATGCCAGATACGTACCTGATGACTAGCAAAACGTACATATTTTTCGCGTAGATTTTTTCTTTCTACTGGGCTGGCTCTTCAAGATTTGTCTTGTCCTTTGGTAATGCTTTGATGTCGCAATCTTCCTTGGTTCCTCATTATGGTTATCATATGAATATAGAATACCAAAGTACTTGTAGCTAGCCTGTGTGCCCACTATATGTCCTGGTGGCCCATTAGTCATTATTTCTCTCAATGTCCTCAGTAAAAATCCGAATTACATGGATAAGCGAGCCAATATCTCGTTCACTTTTTACATAACTTGATATCATCTACGTAAAAAAAAAATGATGGTAGTTCGGCTCTTGGATTTGTATCCATATCCGCTTCTGGTAATCTGGTAGTGGTAGTCATCTTGATATATGGCACATTTGATAGCTATTATGCTACTATTTCGAGTTAGCTTCAAGTGTCCACGGTTCCAGGGATTCTCAATGAACGTCTTTAGTATGTTGACTTCGCTCTAGACCCAGACATTCATAGGTGTGTGAGGCACTGAGTTATAGGCTTTCCTATAATCTAAGCTAAATTATCTAGATTGGTTTGCCAGGATTTTGAATCTCCAGAGCGACTATCTAAAAGTTGTTGTTCGGGGCCTCTGACGTTGTTCCCATTGCTTTTTTGAAGTGAGCTGTGTGTATACTGGTTCATATGGTCATGAAACATCTGACACTTTGGTCTGACAATTTCACAACCATAAATTTTTATTTTATAAATTTTTTCCCCATGAAATTATAAAATTCCAAGCAGAGACTTTTTATGGTGAATACGAAAAAAGAAAATGCTCATTTAGATTCAAATCGTTGCAAATTAAAAATATTGCGACGTTTCTTCAAAAATAGAAAAATAGAAAAAATAATAAAAATATTAATGTATTTTTAAATAAAATATTTAAATATTAGAAATTAAAAATAGAAAAATAGAAAAATATTTAAAATAAAAATAGAAAAATAAAAATATAAATGTTTCTTCAAAAATAGAAAAAATATTAGAAAAAATAAAATAGAAAATATTAATATTTTCTTCAAAAATAGAAAAACAAAATATTGGTTAGAACCAATTTTGAGCAAAGTAATTTCAGGAAAGTGTTACTTGTTGTTGAAAGCCAATTTTCATCGAAATATAAAACGATTTGATAATTTTGCGACTTATTTCCGACTAATTAAAAAAAACTTTATCGCTTACAAAAAAATAAATCGTCTTTTTTTTTAGCATTTATAATTTTGTTATTGCTGAAAAAATTGTTCCTTTTTTTCACTGTGGTGCAATGGTGTCGATAAAGGTAATGAAGCGCCCTTAAAATCGCCCTGTAATTCGCTTATTTATTTAAAAAAATCCGTCCTGTGATATACGTGATAATTATTAGCAAATAGATTTTAATAATAAAGTGGCATATTTCGATATTTTATTATTTCTTAAAATTATTCAAAATTTATTAAATTTCTAATTAAATTAAATCAGTTGAAAAAGAGAAAATTATATATAAAGACGTATCAAATTCCTATATTTGACAGGCATGAAAATTTAAAGAAAAGAAATAAAATATGCAATTTTATGAGATGAAAATTTTATTCATTCAATATTTAAATGATTCAATAAATCCATATTTTTTAAATTTATTTATTTAAATTTTTTACAATTTATTTTTTTTAGATTTTGCCAATGCAATTTTAATATTATTAAATATTATTATTAATACTTTTAATAATATTAATTATCGCCAAATATCTTTCCACTTTTTTCGTTATCATTTGGAATATTGAAAAATTTGCTTTCTCCTTATTCTTATTATGGTGAAATCATTAAAAAATAGATTCACTGCCTTATTAAAATATTATTATAGAATGATACAAGCATAATACTGCCTTAATAATTACAATGAAGAATAATAAAAATATTATTCAAAATAAAAATTATGGAAATCCAAAAATTATAAAAAATATCAATGTTGATGAAGCCAAATACTATTTCAGCTAAGGCCAAGCGACTGAGTTCAATTGAAAGCATTTCTAATGCCATTCCGAATGACCGCTAGGAATTTATAAGTACTTCTGATCACAAATGCGAGCCAAATTTTTCCAGATTTACCATTTATTAACATTCATTCATCATCCATTCAGTTATCCAGTTTATCCACACCTATGGCCCATCCAATCCACTCGTATGGAACTTATCCACACCTTTCACCATCCATTCACATGATTCGCTTACTCGTCTACATCATCCTTACATATATGCAAACATTTCGCCTATCCACTGATCGTCGGTTCATCCACCAACTTATTAAAACGTCACATTCATCGACCCACGACCCGTTAAACTCAATTCATCCAGGTTTAAAAACCAAATGACCAAAATGACCACCACCATCCGTCACCAACGCCACAAAACAAATGATCATTTTTCGAGGCAAATCCAAAGACACGATTTTTTCCTAGCCGATTTATAGAAATAACAGTCGAATGTGGCCGCATTACTAAATTTGTATTGCTATCTTTCGTCTCGGCACTTTTCGGCAGCTTGCGTGGTTTGGTGGTAGGGTATTAGCTATCACAATTGTGGATGGTTGTGGACTGTGGATCTTCACCTAATTTTTTTGACATTAATTTATAATTTATTTATTATAATTTATAATAAATAGTTTTTTTTAAACTCTGTTGGAGAGAATTTTATATTCCTTGTGATCTATTGTATTTTGTGAATTTTAAGTAAGTGGCGATGAGTGATGGTGGTGGAGAGAACCATTTGACCCCGAAATACACCCCATGTCGACCACCATGGGTTGGTCTTTTCGATAAGCGGCAAAGGTAATTTCAATTTTAGAAAACTTTCCTAAGTTGTAAATAACTTCTATTTAAATTATTTTTAAATTATAAATCACTTATCGAATTTATTTGATAAATTTTTTTTAAAATCAAATTTATAAGTATAATCGCATATAAAATCGCAGGCTTGAAAGCCCCTATTCGAATTGCCTCGGCGCTTTAAATACGACTTTTGACGCTTTGGCTTTGCTTTAAACTGGTTTATATGAATATCTATATGTTTATTTGTTGGATGTTGGTTATTTTTCAGAAAAGGTCGAGAAAATTGGTGGACAGAACTCAATTACGAGGAAGACGCAGTTCGTAAAAATAAATTCCGAATTTTTCGGCCGCGATTTTCGGAAGAAGATCCAGATTGGTTCGTTGCATTGTTATTCATTCTACTTTTCTTGTTGTTTTCATCAAGAAGTAGTATAGGTTAAATTTTATTTTGCATAATTTATTGAACGTTATCAACTTTAAAAGGATGGAATAGATTCTTTAAGCGCTTAGCGATCGATCTTTAGGAATAATCCTTTAGAGATAAACTTTTATTTTCTTTTTGTACGGTTTGTTTAGTATGAAAAAAATTGCGTGGGTTTTGTTGTGATTTATGTTAGATTTCATTATTTAATTAATTTCTGAAGAGGGCAGAATGGTTCAGTGAGTTTTTGCCAACATTTCATCATGCCAGTTCCGGCGGGAATAAACCTGTTTTCCAAAATTCCGGATGGTCCTATATTTCTGTGGCATAATGACTGTTCGAAATATATTCTGATCCGATAAGTCAAGAGAGCGAGTTTAACCAGAAGTGATGAGTATTCTTTTAAAAAAAATGGTTTTGTATTTCAAATAATCGTTTTATATAAAGGCGAGAAGCCAAATAATTATTAGTGAATTTCGCATTATTTACTAAATTTATTTGATTAGTTCTATTTGTTGCTGATTTAACCAATCACTTCATTTTGTTATTTGTTTATTAAAAGAAAAGAATTTGAAAACTTGAAGAATTTGAGAATATGTAAAACTTTGGCAAAAAATTCCAGGTGGGATCCAAAAGTGCCAGATGGAAAATCGATTTCTGGGCCATATGGACTTGATTCTAGTAAGCATCCTAATTTGACAATTAAAGGTGATCAAGTTGGCTCGCTCAAAGATTTTCAAGAGAAAGTAACTGTTATTGTTTGAATTACCTAAATTTCGAAAATTTAACAATTATTTTCAAATTTGTTTTCGTGATTTGTTATCGTTGTTGTCAGTATATTTGCTATAAAAAGAAAAATGAATATGTATTTGCTATTTGCTATTTATTCTTTAATTTCCTCCTCAAATTTTTTACGAGAAAAATTCTATTAATTATTAATTAATCAATTGTCTTTTAAAAAAATTGAAAATACATACATTATAAAATTACAAAAAATATAACTTTATATTCAAATCTATTCTTTCCAGGTTTATAAATCGTCTGCTCAGTTTAAAGCGATTGCCGAAAAATGGGATTTGAGTCCTGAACATCCCGGATTCGATATCAATCCGATATTAAATAGTGCAGTTTATACACCAAAGGTTTTATTTTTAATTATTCATTTCAGGGTTGCACCAAGGTTCTACTTCTCATTGTTCATTCTTTTGCTTTTATTTTATTTTCGAATAGTATTCGAGTTTTAGCTTTCCCACTCACTGTTTTTTTTAAATTTTGTTTAAATCATTTTTTTCAGCATTTGTTGGGATTTTCTGGCTTTACAAGATGGCATCAATATGGGCCACGTTTTTTTGAGAAGCCACTTAACGAGGGAACATTTATGAAAGGTCTTGCATGTGCTAAATATGCAGCGATTGGTAGTGAGTTAACATTTTTATCTTTTTTTTTGTGATTAATTGATATTTGATGTTATAGTTTAATTTGCACTTGAATTTAATTTAATTTTGTATTCAAATGCAAACTTTTTTAGTTTATCTATAGTTTCTATAGTATAGTGTTATACAAATTATTGCATTATACAAATTATTTTATAATAAAAATTATTCTATTTTTAGTGATACCTATGACGATGATGGAAATCCGTTCATTTGGTTCAGTTCCTGTTAAAAAACTGAATTTTAAAACGTATCTGAAGCGATATTTTCAGCTATCTGTGATACCTCGTATCTTTTTTGCATGAATCTTGAATTTTGGATTTTGTTTGAATTTTTGAAATCTTTTAATTTCACATATAAGAATGAGTAAAATTTCAGTAACTCTTGCTTTTACATGGGGTACGAGCCTTAGTATTGCTGCGGCTATTCGAAATCGTGATGATACAGTAAATCATCTTTATTCATCTGCAGCTGTTGGCGCTACTCTTGGTGCAATAAGTTCGTGTAAAATTAATTTATTCATGATCTATATATTTTATAGGCAAATAGATTTTTTTCGAATTAAAGCAGATTCTTATTTGCCAATATTTATGTTGCTATTTTTCAAATGTTTTAATAGCATTTTTTAAGAAAACAGCAGTACTATTGGCTTCACTGCGGCGATTTTAACACTTATAGCAGGTGTTTTGTGGCATTATAGCCGCTTAGGTATTTTCGGTTTACAAGGTCCAGTATTGCATCAGTACGAAAGCAACTATTGGTCAGGACCGCTTACTTGGAAATTATTTTCGAGGGGCGATGCTGAGGTGCCGTCGATTCAATATTAAATATTATTTATATCGGTGATATGCACAACGATTTATTTCAAACTTTTTCGCCCATTGTAATTTTCATTTTGCTTATTGTATAGGTTTATTATTATTAAAAATTTGACATATATTTTTTCAGTATTTCATTTCTATTTCGATTTCATTTCGATCAGTTCTATGATAAATTACATTTCTCTTCTTCTCATTTTGCATCATTACTAGCTGCACTGGCTGCAGTGAGGTGTCTTAGAAATCTATCGATCCAGTAATTTTCGTTTATTTGTTTTCAAATTATCTTATCATAGGGATAGTTTTCAGCAGCGTCAATCTTTTGATATTTATCCCATCGAAAAGATTTTCTTATAATGGTAGCCTATTTTCTACCATTACATTAGGAGTTTTTGGAGTTATTTTGATTTATAATATCAAATAATGAATGAAATTATTATAAAACTAAAAATGAATCAGAACTGTTGTATTTGTTGTATTTAAAAGCATTTTAAAAAAATTTGGTGAATAGCGGTGAAATCCTTGTAAATTCCAGTCCGTATTATTTTATTATAATCACGGTGTTTAATAAACATACTAGCCATTTAAAAATGGGTTCCGAGTTAGAATATGGAAGGTCATTTTACTTAAGGCTTTGATAACCCAGTAATTAAGTATTCTTCGTTCTCGAACTCTCTCCGTTTTTCCTAATTTTATTTATATTTTCTGGATTTCATACGATCGCGAATATATTCGCCGTAATAAACAAATTAGCCATTTAAAAATGAATTTAACTTTAACAAAAATTATTGAAGTATTTTAGAAATGAAACGCAAATACATACCATGCAAGGTTTATTTGATAAATTAAACTGAAATAGTGCAAGAATTAAGCAGTAATTAAATATTATTTATTGGTTATCAGTGTAGGGAATATTAAACGAATAGAATTTTATTAAAGTAGCGGTCGGACTAAAAATAAAAGTTCGAAAGGTCAACGAAAAAACAAAAAAAAGTGATGAACTTGTTGGTCGATGAAGAATTTACAACTGTTCGTTAACCGTTACTAAATGAATTTCGGCATCGGTCAGCATTCCCTATTTCATTTTTGGCTTTTACACCGCTGCGTTTCTGTACCATCGATGAACCGTCAAAACTGTTTTATAGTTTCATTTATTGTTTCCATTTTTCATTGGTCCTTGTCCAGCTTTCCTTTATTCTTTCGTAAGTGTCGTCAACTTATCAACTTATCAAATTATCAATTATTTTATTTTGAATTCTTTATTATTTATTATTTATTATTTTGAATTCTTTTGTTCGACCATCGAACCCATTCTTAACGCAATGGAAAATATGATAATTTAATCAACTATTAATTTAATCAACTAGGATCAGTTAGTAAGAATGGGTGTTGATAAAACAATAATTATCAGTCCAGATAATCAGGCGCTCAACTTAGTTGCAAAAAATGTCAAAACATTTATTTAATCAACAAAACATTTCAGTAGGCTGATAAATGCAATGTAGCAATTTTTGACGAACGTAGGAGAGGCCAAAAGGCATGAAAAGCCAAAAATAAGATAAGGAATGGTATTCGAGTTCAAAAAATAAATTTGCAGTAGTTTAATTAGAATATATTTATAGTTTTAATGATTCTAATAAAACAAGGAAGAAAATATACATAAGTGTAAATGTAAGTGTTTAGGTTCGTTCCTACAGCCTAGAGCCTACAGTTAATACAGTAAGAAACTTTTGCTATGGGATCATTTAGCCAGAAGGGGTGGATCACCAGCTTCAGCGGGTTTTTTAATGACCTGTTTCCTGCATTCTATCATTGCATTTTAATTATATAAAATATATATTTATAATATATAATAAATATTTTAATTATTTTAATATATTATACATAATATATATTTTAATTATTTTAATATAATATATATATATAATATATATATATTATATATATATAATATATTAAATAATATATAATATATAATATATTATTATATATATAATATATATATATAATATATGATACATTTTAATTATATATTTATTTATAATTATATTTATAATTATAATTATATTATTATTTAATTATATTATCATTTTAATTATATATTTATTATATTTAATTATACAATAGCATTCCAGTGACGATCGATTGGATTATTTAATTTTCATTCATAAAATCATAAATATTTAAATTAATTTCAAGGATTTGACTAAAGAAATAAAAAATCTTTAATTTTATATTTAATATATAATAATTATATTATATATTTAATATTTAAACTCAGAAATAATTTCAAAGGAAAAAGCGAAATTTTTGCCATCATTTTACGATTTCCAAAAAAGATTTAAATAAATCGTAAAATAAATCATAAAATTCATAAAATTTCTTTCTTCATACAACAATTAATCGTTAATTATTTCTAACAAAAAATTCTCAAATAATCTCAAATTATTTTTTTTTTTTAAAAGAGAAAATTATTTTTAAAGAATAAAAAATATAAGATGAAAATTGCTACTAATAACCGGTTGGAACTGCGCATTCACCGTCTATCATAGAATAATAATTAGCGATAAGTAGTTTGTTGAAATCGAAAGATTATCAGAAAATTTCTTAAAACCATTTTTATTTATTCACTTGTTTCGCTAAATTTGTTTATTTTTTGATATTTTTATATATTTTAAATTTATTTTTAACATATTTTAACATATTTTTGTTTTTTTAATTTAATGAAAATTTCTTGAAAATTTCATAATTTTATTTTTTTATTTTTTTTCGGAGAAAAATTTTTTTAATTTAATTTTCTTTTCAGATTTCTCTGATTTTTTATCAGCTTTAATCGTTCATTTAAGATTTAATAATTAATAAAAATTTTTGCTTCGATTTGAAATTTTTTTTCTCATCCATCACTTTATTCGTTGTTTGAAATATGTAATTGGCCCGGTGGATTAGATTCGCAGCGATTAGAAATTTTTGAAGGGTGCCGCTTAACAACGGAAAGTTAGATGGATCGCGATCATTAGGATGGCTCTATCGACAATCAGAAAATCGAACCTCTGATAATCGATTGGGATTTAATGATTTTAATGATTCTATCAGCGACCAGATAATCGAATCTCTGATAATCCATGTAGATTGGATTGGAATTGCCATACTACTCGACCATAGCTGCTTGCAATTTTTAATTTAAAAAATTTAATATATATATAATAAAAATATAATTCATCTAAAACAAATGAATTTAGTAGATTTTTTGAAAATATTGTAAGAAAATAAATAATGTAAATAAAAATATAAATAATACAAAATATGCGCTGTTTTTTAAAATCATCTTTCATTTTTTAGTTGTAATTAATTATAAAATCGGTGCATTGGTAACAGTTGGCGATTTCAGTTTTTACAAAATTTTCAGACCTTATTTGTAGAGAGAATAAGAGAATGATCTGAATGAGCGGTCTGTCCTCTATTTTCCTGTAATTTTATCTAAAAATTTTACCATCGATTAATTCGTTTCGAATATCTCCTGGAGGATTCTTTAAATCCCATAGTAAATTATTCTTCTAATTTGTCTGATAAAAAAAAGAGGAAGCGAAAATGAATTGAAAATGCGCGATTGACAAGTTTTTTTTTCGTATCCATAAAATATTGTTTGTTTAAGCGAAATTTTTGTTCGATTAATTAGCCGCTTTATTTACTTTAAAATTGAAGATTTTTCGTGAATATCATTAATTTCTATGTTAAAAAAAAAGTGAAATGAAACTGATAAAAGCGCTACTTTCTTGAAATAAATAAATTAGTGAACTTTGGTAAAAGAAAAAAATATATTAGAAAAACATAGAAATTAATGATATTCATTTTCGTACATAAAAAAAAATGTGAAGAATTTCCCATTTTTTTTATCAGAGAATCACATGAAGAGCAAAATTATAAGTGGAACAACGGTAGGCATTCATAGGCCAAGATCAACTAAGTGGTATTTGCTCAATGACAGTGATAATAATAATTCATAGGTCTCGAACATGAAGGCTTAGGAATCTCCGGAGCTCCGATAGAATTGGCCATTAAGAAAATCTACTCCTAGCGATTCACTGTTCGCCAAATGGAGAAAATTTTTATCGTTTTTCATAATGGAGCTAGTGGAGTAAGCCTAGGAAAAGTGGCTGAGTGCCTAACACTTGTTTATTTCTTTGTGATAACTTTGTTCTGTGGGAACCAATATGCCATTTAATGAAGAATTTCTTTTCCAACCTTTTTTGTGGCACCAAATTTTTTGAATTTTTCAATTTTTAAACTGATTCTTTCGAAAAAGTGCAAATTTGAAAATATAAAAACTATTTTTCGATTTTTCTTGTTTTTTCTTTGCGATAATATAAAAAACAATTGTTTTAAAAATTGCTTTTCTTTAAAAAATTGCCATCAAGCCATCAATGATTAAATGATCTTCGACAAATTACGATATTATAATTATTATTATTTTAAATTATAATTATTATTGTTCAAATTTATTAAAAAATTTTCCATATTTTTCAAAATTATTATTAGGATAATAGATAAAATTAACGATAATAGATTTTTTAGACAACCGGAGACAAGCAAAAAAATTTTATTCCATTAATAATAATTTAATAATAATAACAATAATAATAAGTAGTAAAAGTATTAAATAATAATAAGTAACAATTTACAATAACAATAATAAATAATAATGAATAATAATAACAATAGTAATAATAATAAATAATAATAGATTTAATTAATTTATTTATTTAATTTAAAATCTTAAATTTTTACTTCTGATCTCTTTATTCCAAATAATTATATCCCAGTTTCATATGTATATTCTTCTTTTTGAGATTTTTATGAATGGCTTAGATTATTGTTGGGAAGCAAAGATTTGATCTTATCTCTAATCGAAATAAACCTATCATTAGGTTGCGGTGCTGGTGATTTACTTGTACTTCTATCGCCAAGTGAATGCCTGGCAAAATTTGCTTGCATCGATAATCTAGACAGAA